TTTTTAAAAAATCTCGAGATACGAATCTTCAGAAATATACGTCAAAATAGCAGATTATCTCAGCGGTTACGATTTATACTTACGTTTTACATATAAACTACCTTAAGTAGGTCTTATGAATAATCAAGAGTAGTCCCCCTTGTTTTGTTACTCCCCTCTTTGAGAGAGCTATTTCTGTTTACTGGGAATATAAAAAGACACTATGTACGAACCTTGTATTCTCAGTTGAATAAAGCTTTCTTAAAGCCTACACCTGCGTACTTTTGTCATTACAATAGGTAAGATAACTTTTTATCATTCTGGTAATACTACTTTACATTGAGGTTATGGGATAACAGTATGTAAAGTTATTAAAAGCTAAAGCCTCCGTACCTTAACATTGTGGAAATTCACAGACTTATATCAGTCATGCTCTGATATCTGGTGAGTAATTGTGGACACCAGAAAAACTGATCCTGGTAAGGTTACAAGAATTATTTGATATTAATATCCCAGTCTAAAATTGTGATGACAAGTAACACCACTTGATCAGCGTGGTCATGTGTGTATTGGGAGGACCTGATCGAAGGCGCTATCCCTCATTATTGACAGCGCAGTAGTTGAACATGTGTCCTTAACTATCATGATCCGAAGTGTCCAGTGTAAGAGACAAAGACACATCTGGCTCAGGTCACATCCACATGCAATTCAGGAGGTACCAGTTGCCTATCGAATAGATCAGTTCAATGTTATTTGATCAGAAAAACAACAAATTTTCCCTTATTAATATCAAGACTTTTGATACAGGAACAGGCCTAGACTCGTAACGTTGGTAACCAGAGCCTTGAGAACTAATAACATGTAATGTGTTCCGACATGTTACCGTTTCAGTTGTTGGGAATATTCGGTTGTAACGCAGACCTTAAAAAGGTAATGAATCGTATTAAGCAACGAGGAACTGATCAAGCTGGTAGTAGTTTTATAAGGATGTGGTGTATGCTATTTATCTTCCATGGAATATGAGAGCAGAAGACAAAGTTGCTTCTATTGCTACAACGACCTTTGACACAGCACCGGACCATGATTTTTGTTCTGTTTTAGCGCAGACCGCAATAAGGCCATGGATCCCAGTTGTCAACGACGCATTGTGAGAACTGGTAATGGTTTTATAGGGGCGCTGGTGTATTTACGTGGAATAGCTGGTTTTCCTAAACGCGTCATTAACTGGTGACTTGTACTTTGCGCTTCTTCGTGCCACTGACCATTTGCACTCATTCATGAGGATCATTCTGGGCACTTCTTACAAAAGTTGTGGCCACCATGTTTACTCCACATAAGCCCATTTGGACATTTATGGAACTCAGTTGCCAGGTCTGGTTACCAGTAAAAGTTAGGGCCCTGTGGAAATCTATTTAGATTGGATGACTCAACATCTCTCCAGAGGTTTTCCGTTCACTTTTGGGATCAATACAACACCAAGTTGTTGCCAACCTAGAGGTAACTTATACGATATTAAGCACTTATCACATGAGTTTTATTACATCAGGATATTTGGCATCAAATTTATTCCGAATGAGACGTTAACATTAGAAAATAGCAAAAGTGGATACTAAAAAGCAATTTAATTAAATCGGTTCAATTTCCAGTTTTGTAGACTTTGAAGTTTGAGTAGGATAGTGATCTGAAAAGTTTATCTGGAGAAAAAAACAACGTAGTTATTAATAAGAAGAGTTGAAATTAATGCATGCAAAATTTTACAACTCTAGCATCATTGCATCGTAGTCAGCTAATGAAATTTTCAGACCACCATCGTTCGTTACTCAAATTTATATGTTTATATAAAAAAAAAAAAACATCGAAGTAAAAAGATCATTAAAATTATTGCTAAATGATCGATGTCTCATAAATCTCGATATATTGAAACAGTAAAGACTGTTTTGCGCAGTTATTGAATATACTTGATTTGTCTCATTCATTAGCCTCGATATCTTTTGGTCGCAGAACTTAAGCTTCATTACCACAGCCTATTTACAAACTTCTCTATCTCTAGACAATATCAATAATATTTGCTTGTTCACATCTAGACGCACTTTAAGAAACATTGTAATATTTTCACTTATGAATTTTATACGAAGTGGAAGATAGGAAGTGTTAGTTTCAAGTTGCCACTTCAGACGAGGAGTAAGAAACTAGGTTTCTACAATGTGCAACAGAAATCCTATATTACCTCCTAGAAATACCTCCCAGGTAAAGGAAAGACATTAGCTACAGAGTGCAACAGAAATACCTCCCACATGTACCTTTCAGAAATACCTCCCACATAATGGAAAGACATTAGTTACAGGGTCCGATATAAATAACTCCAACATATACTTCCCAGTAAAACCTTCCACATAATGGAAAGACATTAGCTACAGGGTGCAACAGAAATACCTCCCACATGTACCTTTCAGAAATACCTCCCACATAATGGAAAGACATTAGTTACAGGGTGCAACAGAAATACCTCCCACATGTACCTTTCAGAAATACCTCCCACATAATGGAAAGACATTAGTTACAGGGTCCGATATAAATAACTCCAACATATACTTCCCAGAAACACCGTCCACATAATAGAAAGACATTAGCTACAGGGTGCGGCAGAAATACCTCCCACATATACCTTCCAGAAACACCGTCCACATAATGGAAAGACATTAGTTACAGGGTGCGATAGAAATACATCACGCGTATACCTCCCAGAAATACCTACCACATAATGGAAAGACATTAGCTACAGGGTGCAACAATAATACCTCCTACATATACCTCCCAGAAACACCGTCCACATAATAGAAAGATTAGCTACAGGCGCGGCAAAGAACCTCCCACATATACCTCACAGAAATACCTACCACATAATGGAAAGACATTAGCTACAGGGTGCAACATTAACACCTCCCACACATACCGCCCAGAAACACCTTGCACATAATGGTAAGAGATTACCTACAGGATGTGACAGAAATACCTCCCACATCACCTCCCAGAAACACCATTCAATATATCTTGTGAGTCTCAAATTCTCCAAACCTTTATTGTCCTTATTATGTGCTCTAGAGATTTTAACTGTCTCTTTCTTTTTCTAAGCATAAGCGTCCATTTTGTTTCCTTTTTTTTCCGTAAGCTTAGCAAATAAACAAGATTACTTTCAATCGTCTTTTAACTCAGTTCTTTCTTGTATCTAGAGTCTTTGATAGTTCAATGCCTAAAAGAAAACAAAGAAAGAAATTCTGTAAAAGAAATCCAGGAAAGTTAATTTTATGATGCCGTTTTTCAGCTTTATAATTATTTCCAGAAGATGCTACTATGTCTGTTGGGAAATCTGAACTGGAATCATATTTGATTGCTCTTGTGATGATTTCTTATTATTCTATGTGTCGAATCCCTTCAGGGCGTTAGCGATCATGGCTCTCCACAATGTCCTCTTCTTTGTAACTCTTCGTAAATTTTGTCATTTTCTTATCTCACGTAAACCCTGTTCTGTCATTCATTTACACAAGGTAGGTTTTACGCTGTTTTTCTCTCACATACTTGACTTCAATATATGTCCTCTGAGTGTCAAATTTTCAAAGCCTTCTTTCCACATTATGTGATCTAGTAATTCCAGTGGTCTCTTTCTGATATTAACTATAAGTGTTCTTTTTGTTTCTATTTTCACTAAAACTTGGACGTTGTTCACGTGTTTAATTCATGGTATTCTCAGCATCATTTCGTAGAACCAGATTGCTTCAAGACTTTTCTTCATCTGTGAGGAGATTGTCCAGAATTCACTGTCATCTAAGAGGACAATAATATTTCAATACTCTTTTCTTTGCTTCTAGCGAAATTTTCCTGTTTCTTAATACTTTACTTAGCTTTTGGTAGGCGTTTTTTCTTATCCCAGTGCGCCCTCGGATTTTAGCATCGTACTTTTGCTTCCCTGACGATCCACACTTAGGTGAAATCTTGGTAGGTTTGTCTGGCTCTCTAGGTTTAACTAGGTCTGCTCTACTCATTGTGTTGAGCACTTTATTTAGTTGTTTCGGATACTCGCATCGGGTTTTTTTCTTTGCGCTTTGAACTCGTATGCTGGACGAATTTTTAATTAAGAATTAATAGATTTATTTTAAAACCGACATTTTATTAACGTTATATAATAGCGATATCAAAGATAGTATGAAGCCAAAAATGGTGTCAGTCTGTGGGATACTGAGAGAAAAGACATTTAAGGCGAGCAATCTTTGTAATAAAGTGCTCGATATCAGATATAGGGCATTAGCAGAATTAAAACAAGTAAAAGGTTTGTCACTTAGCTAATTGATGTTACGTTATTCATTCAGTTTGATATTACGGATAACGAATTTAGCCAAGGGAGGAGATGGAACAATAGGGGCCGAAATAGCGTCCATAAACGTTTGAAATTGTAATCACATGATCACGCGGTGATCACATGTTGCTGCCTAAGTCGTGAAAGGAATGATAATGGTAACAACCGGAAAAGAAAGAGAAACTGACAATCTTCGTCATCCTTTGCGAATTCAGTTACATTCGTGTCGTTTGAATAGCCTTAACTAATGAGACCGAAGGTTGCACAACATGACACTTGATTGTTATAAAGAACTAAAAAATTACTTATAATACTTGGGTATTGCGTATTTTACAAGTATATAAAGTTATGTGTTCAGAGAAGGAAAACAAAAATATAATCGCAGAAAATCGTATGGTCAGATGCAGAAGTTTTACATTAAGAAAAACTTAACAATTTCCCTATTTGCCATGCTACGTGATCATTAAATCTGTAACTATAGAAGTTTTGTGATGTTTATACCTCTTTATTTTCTGTGGCGATAAAAAGCATACGATCTTACATGACTAACTTTCCATCTGTAATGTCTCTTTATTCTTGAGTTCAGTTAAGCACCTTTCAAGTTAACTCCACTCTACTTACTTAGAATATAATCCCGAATTTTAATTATCTACCTAAAAAAAAAAGATCTCACAGCACCTGGTATTCCCAAGCAGTCACCCATACTAGATACTGACCAGGCTCGACGTTGCTTAACTTCAGTGATCGTACGAGAACCAGTTTTTCAACGTGATAGGCCGTAAGCCACAATAAAATTACTATCCCCCAACAAATGAAGGTAATATAATTAAATTCTATATGGTAAAATATATAATTTGAATTATCGGTTTTAATTAAAAACATTTCCAATAACTTATTTGATATAGTAATAATAATAATAATAGTATGTGTTTTCGTGCATTCTATTCTCAAAGTTTTCACATACATTTTAATTGATTTTCATCTTAAATCTCATTTTACATACAATGTAGATACATAGATATATTGTTGCGTACATATACGCAGGTAAAGTAGCAGTTTGTATAAGGTATTTATAATAGTAGTAGTCATCTGTTTATCTCGCGTCTATTTGGTTAAAATTCAGTTCTTTAGTCATGAAACTGGAGTGGTCTCTCCAGGGCGCATGCCTGGGCAATGGTATGGACGATGGGATATGGAGGCCGTGCGCTTCCCAGACTACAGGAATACAAGCATTACATTTGTGGATGGCTTGGCTGAAGGAGTTGCCGGAAAGTTGCCAGTGTTGACAGGCCACCACCTTCGGGGCTCCACTCCAGGTTTTCTGTATGGATTTACTTACATAGCTTTTTCCTTATTCTGGATATGACCGCAAGGTAGCCGAGGTTTAAAATCAGCCTTTTCCTTCCTCTAGATTGACTGCCTTCCTGAGCTGTCGAGCGACATCTAACCGGTACAGCTGGTTAGGAGGCGCCAGTTTTGCGCCTTCGTCCATTTTCCGGCTTGGAGCTGGACTTAGTTGTCAGAGAATGTTTGAGACGCATGCTACAGAAGCGTTTTAATGAGGGCTATGATAACTCTTGGAACATATATGATGTACGTATACAAAAATTATATACAATACGTGTTTTAGAAGCTTCAAAAATATTCATAAAAACTGGACAGCATATATAAACAGCCACATATACTAAGTCAGTAAAGGGCCATACGTGACACACGTTTGGGCGATCAGGTCTCTTTCGATTCATGACCGACCCAGTCTGTCCTGCTGTTCAACCCATAGCTGGGAGGAGAAAAATCGATTCATACCTTTCTCGAGATGTAGTTATTCTAGCAAGGCACTGTTAACCATTACCCCACGTTGAAATATCCAAATGATCCTCTAAGCGTAGCTTAAATGTGACACAAGGCCAAAAGTGTGGAGCACTCAGTGAGAATCGAACTCACTATTTAGAGGTAATTGTTCTAGTGAGACAAGCTAGCTAACTATTACACTACATCAAAGTGCCAATGTCATGAAAAAGTATGACTTGCTCTGGCAACGTTATTATGACGCAGGTGCAAGTCACTTCTGAATAAGACAAAATATATTATTACGCATCGTCAAATGAATTATGATTATTCATCTCTATTTCACCTTGAAACACTTTTATTTGTAAGAGAATAAAAAATCAGATCTTGGAGCTCTTCTCGTATTAATCGTTTTATCTTTTGATTGGTTCTCTGCTTGTCCCATCCATTCGTTTCTCTGTCTTTTTTTCTCATGCTCAATCAAGTAAACATGCATGAAATATTATTATAACACCAATGTAGTATCTGTGATTGTTCTAATTATACTGACTCTGTATAATTACTGTGCACATTATTATGGTTGTGCTTTGATGTCATGTATATTGGCCCGGGATAAGAAATCGTGTTCGAATTCTAGTCGGTTTCGTTACAGTCACTTCCGTGGAAATAACCTTGAGAAAGTTATGAAACGACCTCTTCTGAAAATGACCCTCACCCCCACGACTGGCTTTCAATAGCCTTGGTTGGCAATCGGTCTACTGCAGAAAGAAACGGTATCTTACTGCGGAAAAATCTTCTGCCTAGTCATGATTACCCAAGCGTGTATTACTTACCTAAGTGATTCAAGTACGTGTACACACTAAATATAACGTTTGTAGTAGTAGTAGTAGTAGCACAGCATACATGATTTCTATCTAAACTTCTCCAACGAAAAGTCCTTGCCCATAACGAAATTGGCAACTAGGTTTCATTATTTTTTTTTGTTTGAATAATGTTCTGCGCGGAGTTTCCATTTTCAGTGACAGGGAAAAATATTGAAATCTTTTGTAGAAACTTTGTTCACTATGTATCTCGCGTATTCAAAATGGGACAAAAAATCGTAGTGCTCAAGAATTAATGGGAACATTACCCACGGTATTGTAATTGTTAATAGCCGAGATCTAAATTCCAATCTAAATCCAATACTCTATGCAAAAGGTACGAATCCATCTCTAATCTCTCCCCAAGCCATAGCGGGACAGACTGTGTCCTATAGTCTTGGTTGGCAGCCAGTCTACCGCAGAAAGAAATCGCAACCTACTGCGATAAAATCTTCTACCTAGTTAGTCATTAATCGAAAGAGACATGATCGCCCAAGCGTGTATCACGTATGGATCTTTGTTGTCTGATTGTCCTTTTAAAATGGCAACTGTATTATTTGTTACAATATTCAAAATGAAAGATTTTATGAACAGCCAAGTGGAATCTTTGAAAATGTCTATTTGTTATTTTCTAAAGTCAGGTAAATGTAATTATTTGGCGAAAAATAAGATATATATATATATATATATATATATATATATATTGTTATAGTCAACAGGTATTTAGGTGAGGACGTTGTAGAGAGACCAAAGTGTATATCACGTACGGAACTTAATTGACTGTTTAGGGAATTTGACAAACCCGACCCCGAATATATGGAGTCTACGGCCTTGTGCCACATATTGCCCTTTGCGGTGGTTGGTAAATAGAGAGACTATATTGAGATGTGCATCGTGAATTGTGGCTCGGAATGAGAAATCCGCGAACTCAGTTCAAATTCCATCGGGTTCGTTATATTCACTCAGGAAAGATTTGTAAACATCTCTTCTCCTGCATCTATGGATTGAATAGCAGGAATGAGTGGTTCCTATAGTCTTCGTTAGCAACCAGACTATCTCAGAAAGAAACGGCAACCTACTGCGAGAAAATATTTCTGCCTTGTCAGTCATGAATCGAAAGAGACATGATCGCCTAAGCGTGTATCACGTATGGAAATTTGCTGTCTGATTGTCTTTATTTAAATGACAACTGCATAACTGTTATATTATTTAAAATGAAAAATTTTTATGAACAGCCAAGTGGAATCTTTGAAAATGTCTATTTTTTATTTTCTCATGTCAGGTAAATGTAATTATTTGGCGAAAAATAATATATATATATATATATATATATATATATATATATATATATATATATTAGTCTGTAGTGGACAGTTTTCGTTGCGAATAATGCATAACAACTTATATAACTGACTACGATTAAGATTGACTTGATTTCTCTCAATATTTAATTGGACGTGAATCAAATTGAATGTACTGTTTACATTGAGACGACAATGCCTCAAAATAATAAAAGGAAAAATTTATCTACACTATTGTTGTTGTTAGTTTCCAGAGCACGAACAAATAATTGCTGCAGCAGAATGAATATTGGTTGTCTGACATTTTATTCCTGCTTCATTAATAATGTTAGAAATTTCAAAACTTTTCAAATTAGTTTTTTTTTAGAAAAGTTTGCATTACACTCTATTTGTCAATATTTATCTTGATGAAAAAGAATTGCCTATGTCAGTTATGTGCCATGTGTGGTATACGCTTAGGCGATCATGCATCTTTCGATACATGACTGACTAGGCAGTTTTTTCCTCGCGGTAGGTTGTCTTTTCTTTCTGCGGTAGACCAATTGCTATCCTGGGGTGGGGGGAAGAAGAGAATTCATACCTTTCTCAAGGCTATTAGCACGTAAGTGAATGTAATGGATTCGACTGGAATTCGAACTTGGATCTCCGATTCCTTAATCCGAACCGCTATCCATTACTCCACCGTGCCTCCTCGCCCAATTGACTATGTGTTTTTATAAATATCAACGAGAATTGATAGTTGTGATAGAATACTCCTTTAACGTGTAAATCGGTATCTCAGTTCTTTCGTATCTGATCACACTAGTTAAAGGAACAAATAGAAAACGTTTATAAATCTAACATGTTTCACTTTCATTAATGCTTCATCAGAGAATGAAATATAGAGGGGAAAATAAAGAAAACAATAAAAAGTTAAAGTATTTTCAATTTCTTTTTTTTTTTTTTTTTGTTTGTTTGTCATTGATTAAGCATCTATAATTGTCAAGCAGCGTTAGTGTGTATAATTCACGAGTGTAAGTTTGTCTAATTCTAGTTTGTCTATGCAGGATTCGAATGGTAACCCATATATGTATGTGTGTGTGTGTGATACTATTTGTCGTTGCGCGGTAAAACGGAAGAAATTTTTGTTAAAACATAAGTAAGTGTTATGTGCTGAGAGACATTGAAACGAGAATGGTTAATGCAAAAAAAACCGTGAGAAGAATTAAGAATTTAATTCACACATGAACGACCTGAAATATATGTTGAACAGTATGAACAATGGAAAAGTGACCTATACTTAAGGGGCAAATGCATGCATTGAAGCGAAAACTTCATTTTCGTAACAACAAATTATTTATCAGAGCTCCTTCGAAATATTTCCTGCGTAAAGAATTGTGTCATTTTTTTTTTAATTTGGGTAGCATTTATAAAATGACTGTTATGACCAGTTTTGCTTTTGTCAATTTTCAGCGATTTTAAATGTTTATCCCAACGTAGCTATCTCTTACGTTCGTAGATGCGTGATTTTGGATTCAACGATGTTTTACCAATGTAACTTTTCGTATATCGCAAGCATTTATTTCATAAATTCCGTCATCTGATGTAGTGTTGGATTTATTTTCCTTCCTAACTTTATACCTGATTGTCTTGGAGGTTGTTGTAAAGATCCCAGTGTTGGGGATAACTTTCAGATTTTGTTGATAGAGTGTTAGAGGGTAAGATAATGATTTTTTTTTTTTTTTTGATGTAAGAAGTGCGATTGGCAGGATCTAAACTTGTGGATATTATATACTCGTTTTCTAGCGTTGAGGATGAAATAATGTGGGTAAAGAAGACGTC